ATTAAAGTGAAACATTATACTAAAGAAATAGAAGCAAGAAGGAGAGAGAAGAATGACTAGGGACTGAAAAACACAAATTCATAGTATAAGAGGTCAGAAGAAACCATGGGGAGAGGAAGGGAGATGGAATAAATAAATGAAGGGAAGGTTAAGCTGTGGTGGTCAAGCGAACACAGATTAAAGGAAAAATAATTTTAAGACTGCCTTCTTTCTCTGCTCTGGCTGCTTTACTTACTGTGCCCTCTTCTTTTTTGAGTTTTAGTAAATTATTACTTTTCTACTCCATGTTGTGGATGAAAAACACAGATAATGTGTTTATAAAACAAGACAGAAATGAATTAAGTGAATACAAAAACCTTCACTTCTTTTGGTGTTTTGACAACTATTTGGGCTTTTTATGCACAAGATAATTTGCTAATGTTTTTATGATCTGTTTTTAAAGAAGATTGATAAGCTATTTGATGGTTTTAGCTCTGCTCTTATGCATCCACGAGCCAATGGAAACCCAGGGCTTGATTGCATATTAGTCTTAGTAATTACAAAAACAAGAGTCTATATGCCAATGTTCAGCTACTTGTATACGTGCTTTCATGTGAGTAGACGCATCGGACTGTAAATATGAGTTCTCATGCATGGATACATGCACTGAAACATGGTCGAGTGGAGTTTGGCAGAATCCATAAAGGGCTAGTCCACCATAGCTGATGCAGTTACGTACAACGAGTTGAAAATGGAGCAGTCTGAAATTGTTTTTATCGCAGTTATCGGACCGTTGCTTTAATTGCTGCTCAAGTCTGAGTTCACATCTCTGTGAGGGAACAGTGCCACAAAGAGCCATGGGAAATAAACAAATTCACTGAACATTTACAGATGTACAGATATTTTTATTCTGATACAACTTCAAGTGAGTGAAAGATATAGCCTAAGCTATGATTTACTGTTTCACATTTAAGACCACCTAAGGTAAAAGGGGAAAAAATATGGAAACAGAAAAAAAAAACAACAAAAAGAAAAAACAGGGTCTTAAATTGTTGTATTTGAGCAATTGTTTGTGTAAAATACACCAGAGCCAAAGAGTGAAGCTTGAATTTACACTGAAGAAAGAGATAGCTTATACTGCACACACAATGTGTTTACCTAGGGAGCAGTGGTGGCTAAATAGCCACTTCTCTGGAGCACTGATGCATGTAGAAAAAAAAAAGAACAGTTAAACAATACAGATGTGCTGATGTTTCCTTCACTGCGGAAGCTGTGTAGTCATAGAACCCGGTCGATGTGCTGCATATTAAAGTATGAAAGAGTCATGCATTAAATTGGCTCAGTAGAAGAACAATAATCCCAAAATGCAGATCAGAGCAGCAAAATCATGAGGCTGAAAACCTTAAGATTCAGTCTGTTGTTATAAGTCAGTCATGACCTCTACCATTATGGAGACTTGATAACACTAAAAGGTTCTAAATGCATTTATTTTAGAGCAGTTTTTAGAACTATAATATATTTTTGTAAGTCCATTTCCTCAATTTAGCTTATCTTTAAAAATGTTTCCATTAGAGGTTATTCCACTGTAGCGGAACATGAATTTCCTTTAATAATCTATTCACTTGTGTACAAGGAATGAGAATAAGTATGGAGAACGTGGTAGGTGCAATTCTGCATGATGTGTAAGCAATTTCAGTCCGTCTTTCCTATATTATTTCAGGTGGTGTAACTTTTCATTTTTGCTCCCTCAAGCCGTTCATGTGCTTTCCTTGATCTTCAAACATCTACTAACCGACAGCTTTTAGAAATTCACTTTCAAAGCCCACACTAGAGCTTCCCCTTTCTTGATGTCTCTTGGATTGTCTGGCACCCACAATGCTCCTTACATCTGATCACACTGATCTCCATATGCCTCTTTCTCTTTTTGCTTTGTAGTTCCCTCACCAACCCTCCATTTGGCCGTCAACTTCAAGTATTATGATCTATGGCCCGTGTGTCTTTTCTTGCGTCATATATTTTCAAAAGAGGATTCTGAAGTATATAATATGTCAGCCACCTTTGTCCTCCACTGAAGTTAATATGCATCTTTGCACGACTGCTTGTATCATTTATATGTCCTGCTCATTTCACTTTTGGGTATCTACCAAAGTCTGCTATCCATTGACGCCTCTTCTGCTTCTCTGATGTGCTCCATTCATCTCTACTTCAAAACTTTTCCTCATTTTCCTGTATCCATCTGAATCTCCATCACTCTTGCGTATCTGGGGCCGTCATCTCTTCATTCCTCAAGACGATGGATGGTTTCCTCTAAAGATGACTCTGATCACAGCACAGCTTTCATTTCAGACTCCACACACATTTCATAATGTTCCATGTGAAAGCCATACACAAGCATCCCTGTTGTCTAACCACATCAAAGTCAAATTCCTGAGCAACAGTAACCACTTCAATTAACCTTTGAGGCTATGGTGATTGACGTGATGGTATAAGGCCAATGAGCAGCGCGTCTTATTTTAGAGGCTTCATTAAACTCTTTTAAATGAATTATGTCACAGCTCAATAACTTTTAGCAATAATGTTCAGTGCATCAGTGTGTATCCAAAGACAAATATTGAACACATCCACTCTAAAAGCAGTAATGAGTCATATGCTGCAATAACGAGGATAAAATGGTTCCAAAAATAGTGTGGCTTTGTCAGTATGATTGAACCAACATTTTAAAACAGCCAAACCCACACATAAGGCTACCAGATCTCTAGAATCTATCGTAAATGACACATTAGCAAAATGAAAGTATGTTTGTTGTATTCAGCCTGGGAAGTATTATAAGGCAATTTCTAAACTTTTTAAACTATCATTCCATTGTGAATGATAGTTGTGTACAACGACTTCGTTGTACACGCGAGGGAATAATCTCATGCGTACAATGTTCAAGGCAGTTCAAAGTAGACAAATTCAAAACAAATTCACCCCAATGTCAGATCAAGCAAAAAGCTCAAGAGGTACATCTCAGACTCTAATATTGGGGTTCATAATAATAAAAAGTCGGATAGAAGATCATTCTTCTCTCTAAAAGAAAAAAAAAAAGATATCCCAATTTAAGTTTGCAATCTTGCAGTTTCCTTTTGACAGACGAGGCCAATGGAAAAATGTTTGAGTACAAAGTATAGCACCAATGTTCCATAGTGACTGTAGGTCATGGTGATGGTTTCAACCAAAGGTCACACAGACATCAGGTTTACCATTAACTCATTTTTACACCAAAGTATTCTAGTCTCAGATATTCATTGGAGTCATAAATACAATAAGAAATCTAGTCCAACATGATAGAAAAGAAAATTACCAGACTGTTGGAAAGGGCCATTCAAAGTGTAAAGTTAAACATGATTCAAGTGATTTTCTTGAATCTGAAGACAGGTGTGCAGAAACAAATACTGCAAAATGATGACATCAAGTTATATGAGCTAATGATGTTTGTATTGAAAGGTAATGATTTTTTATTTTTTTTACTCAACTACATATCTTTTAAAATAAGAACAATCAGCTACAACATTGTTTTTGAGATGACCGCTTTGGCACAAAAATAAATGGCTGTCTGGTCCAGAGTTAAAATATGCAGAATTACCTTCAGGAAGCCACACTCACCACAGCTGAAATCAAGAACTTCAACCACAAAGATATTCATCAGAGCATACTACAGAGAAACAGGGAGTTTGGATGTCATCAAACCTATTTATGCAATTTCCAAATTGCGTGTCGTTGCTCAATCCAAATATTTACTTAAGGTTTCCCACCTATGTTTGGTTCATTTGTTGATTAATTAGCAGTACAGAGAGAAAGAAAAGTTTCACTGTTTGTCAGGTTTAAATTTCACTTTTCCTTTTGCAAAGAATTGAGTCTGAATAACATCCTTATCCATTCCAGCCACTGAATGAGTGGTACATGTGGTGAAGAAAATAAAATTAATAAAGGTGTATGAGGAAAACCAACAGTCTTAAAAAAACAACCTTAAACTTGATCAATTTCTTTAGAAACTACATCAATCTCTGTCCCTGAGGTGAAAACCTTTTCTGGTGCATGGCCTCAGCTTCACCTAGAAGAAAACCTGTTAACACATTTCAAATACATTTACTTCTATTGTTCGTCTTTGAAAGGAGGAACAACAATGCTAAGTGGGGCCATGTATTTGGTAAACTTCATGGCAAATTTGAAACTGAAACAAATCAATCAATCAATCAATCAACTTTATTTAAAGACGCAAAAATAGGTCCATAGAGTAAAAGATAAAAAAAAAAATCAACTGCAGTGACAAACAACCTCTAAATAACAAAATAAAATGACAACAGCAGCAATAATGATAGAGACAGATATTAAAGAAGGTATTGAAAGACATATGTATGGATTACTAGGATATATAAATGGTCTACAATTCTTGCATATAAGATTTCATTTGAGAGTTTGTAACCTTAGATCTTGGAACAACACCTTAGCAAACCATTGACATGCACCATAATAACACTACAAGGTTCGACCTTGGTGGAAAGAGCTTTCATCCCAGGAATTCTATAGTGGACACATATGTTTTTGCTATAAGGAGCCCTTAGGGAAGTGAGCCCACAAAAATTACTCAAATGGAGCAACACACACCAAAGCAGCTGAGAAATGATCCCTGTGTTTCCAGGAATCAAACCAGCGGCCACAACTCAAGTAATTTTACTAAAACTTTTCTTTGGAAAATTGTTTTCTTTCATAAAAAGTCTTGGTTTAATTAACTTTGAGCATGATTTCTGAACATATATAGAAGTATAGATCCGGTTGCCATGTAATTCTACGTGACTTCATGTCACATTAAAACCACAGACTTCAATGCAATTTATTTTTACCCTGACTCTGCCCCTAAACCTGATCCTTAGCAACCGTAAGAACAATTAACACCTTAGTCCCAAACCTAAATCCCAACTCAAACACAATGCTGCAACAATGTAATAAATGCTAAAGCACAGACATACAGTCGTACTCACATGCTGCCACTTGTCATGTATGAGTGGCCGGTATCGAAGGAAGTACTTCAGAGGAAATGTATCTATATCGGGCCATGTGGCGGGGCTGTGCCAGGACACCTCCAGCCTTCGAGGGTTTAAACGGATCGGGGATGCCGTCACGCGCTCCGGGGGGTCCGGTTTTACTGCAAAAGGTGGACAAAACCAGCATTATGGACAAAACCATAGCAGTCAGTCAATGGTGATGAACATCTTCCGATGTGTAACCCTGTAGTTCTTAAATATCACTGCGTAGCTGATATTTTAAATGTTTTTCCGCACAACACTGATATATTTTAGACTGACGTGGGGTTGGAAACAAAGTAAAGAGGAAAAATTGTATTGAAAATCAGAAAGGATGCTTATGTGTAATTATGGATGGTCACAAGTTAATGTTTTTAAATAATTTCCAACTTTTTATGCACTGCTTTTAGTAGTTTATTTCTGTTCTATGTTTCAAGTAGAATGATTTAGACGACTACAAAGGTGTTTATGCTATAGGAAATCAAGGCAGAACGGAGAAACTGTTTGGAGGAAGTGTTGCAAGGCAAATATAAAAGGCCATCAGACCTGATGAGAAGGTATGTAAAAAAAAACTGTTCACTAAGAAAGCCCTGAATGAGATTGTGACAATTCAATTTGGAGCTTTTCAGACTATATTGAATGACCCGGTCTTTGTTATATCATTCCCACAAGGGAGCCCACTGGCCTGCATCTTCAGCTACAGGAAACCCTTTGCTCAAGTAAATGCACAACTACACACACATCACAATGGGAAATGATAGATAGCCACAATTATAATCTGCATGTCTGATAAAATGGTGAAATGCATACCATCATACACACAGATTGGCAACCAAACAAGAAGCACACTGACAAATTCAAAGTAGCAGCAGAGAGGAAGGCACAGACAAAGTAAATAAGCAATTAAAAAGAAAATGTCAACAAAAAAGCCTTTTTAGCCCATCAAAAATAGGCATGATGACATGCAGTGTGGATTCGCAGAGTCTCGTGGAATATTGTTCAACAACTGACAGATCTTTTAAATTTCAAATCATTGTATGAATGGGTGGCAGCTAATTAGCACTTAGCAACAGAGAAAAGGGAGACGGTAAACATTTTTCAGTAATAATTATTAATTGAGGGAAACGATGGTTGTGTGAGTGAGGACATGAAGCTCAGGCAGGTTTCAAACATTTACTGTAACTGTGAGCATAAAGTTTGTCAAGTGAGCAGAAACATTCTGGTATAATGGTTTTTATGTAAATTTAGTTTTCTCTCTATGAAACATGAGGCTGGTGAAAATATAACCCGTTTCGTTTTGTGGCTTAAATGTGAATTAAACAGAGAAAATGTATAATTCACATTTTCTCTGTGTCTGAGCCAAATGAAGACAGCATTTGACTGCAGACTGGTTTTATGCCAACATTTTAAGTTCCTTTCATTTTATAATATGTATGACATGAACTTAAAATGACTTTTTAGTGCAAAACAACATCAATATGGGGTGAAAACTTGGTGCAAACTGTAGCCAAATCATCACGAGTAAAACATGGATGGATTACCTTGAGAAAAGTAAAACTTGCATAACTGCTGTGTGACTTTCCAATTTTCCAACTGGAGATTGAGGTAACAAAACAACAGCAGGGTGAAATGTGCCGACGCATGACACATCAGAGAAACGATGCATGTCAGAACGGGAGCAGAAAATATCTCTACATTTATATTGTAAGAACTGTATTGTTTTGGTGAGCACTATTAGTATCATCATATAACAATGTAACGTAATAAACTCAAATTTCAGCTATGCATTTTATGATCACTACTTCTGGTTTAGTTGGTGCCTGTGTTATGCACTGATGCTAGGGTTATTCCAAATGTAATGTCATCATTCCCCAGTGCCTCATAGCTGTAAATCTCGGCTGCCTAGTGATTACTTTTTTTTATGCTTTATTACATATTTTGGTCCTGAAAATGAATATGAAGTTTGTCAGCTTAGAGTTTGAGCACAACTGAAAGATAAAATGAGTAAACATTATAATAAAAGCCTTACTAAAACATGCCTATATTTGTTAGAAAATATGTAAGATGGAAAAGGAAAAGAAGTAGATGCATTTCACATAAGTAAGACGAAACTAGAAAATATTATATTTTGCTCTTTGTCCCACCAAATGGATAAAAGAATATGCACATGAACAAACCAGATAAATCTGAGAATGGAGTGCCCAAAGGCTTTTAAAGTATCACTCTAACTTACAAAGAAATAAAAAAATGACAGCTTTTCATTGTATGAGTAAAAGAAAATCTTCTTTTTTTTTATTCCAAAACCTCTTAAGAATAGTTCCTTTGAAGGTATTATTTCCAATGCAGCATCTGAAACACACTAAAAACAAGAAAAAGCAAAATGTAGAGATATAATCACCATGATTGGAAAAAAAAAAAAATCTCTTAATGATTATACAAATTTTAAAAGAAGGAAAACAAGGAACTTGATAAATTTGAGTGCAGATGTATTTGTGCATATGTGGAATTGGCTTTATAAACTTTACTTTTATTGCTATTATCCTGTCATGCCAACCCTCTGTCGTTCGTTAATGAGATGCCTTGAAATGTGTGCTGTGATAAAAATCTGAGAGCTGTGTGACATACATTATCTGAGAACAGAAGAAAGGAAACAAAAGAAAAGCTGTCTTCGTTATAGAAAAAGTTTCAATGTTCTGCTGAAGCTGAACAAAGATGTTTCTCTAAAAGCTAATTTTTTACGCACTTACTTTTACAAGAGTGAAGAACAGTATTCATCCACTTTTTTTCCCCTTTTACACCATTATAGGCTTGTCCTAATAAAAAGGCTTTCAGAAAATCTGAACTCTGATGCACCAGATGATGGATTCTCACGCAGTACTTTGACAAACAATAAAGACGAAGCAAATCAGTGCTCTTTGGTTTCCCATGAAATCTTTAAAAAAAATCACTTCATAAAAGGAAATGGAACAGAAAAAATAGCATATGTTGCTGACTCTATTGAAACCAGTCAAACGCAGGACACCCATTCATTCACAGACAAATGCAGCTAAGCTGTTTTCTAGTGTCAAAACCGCCCTGCAAGCAGTGAGCACTAAATTAAATTAAGTAAATGATAGCAAAGAAACTATTAAAATTGATTAAAGCATAGCCTTCTATTTTAAGGAACAAAAGCACTTATCGCACCAGAGAGTTTGTCAAACAGCAATTATTCTGATTTACAGCAAATTAGATTGATCTTTTCCAAATGTACAGTTCCAGTGAGGTTTACATAGTCTCAGAAAAGACATGGAATGTAGTTGTTTTTTTTTTCTTTTCAACAAAAAATCCAGACGTTTTCATGTAATGCATGTATTCGCTAATGTCAAAGGTACACGCGAATGCTCACATGTTTACATACACTCACACTTTGGTTGAGAAGTTGCAACCTTGACCAAATTCATGCAAGATGCATCAATATTTTTGCCTGAATTTTTACTGACAACTCTTTGTAACACTTTCTTTCTTTCTTTCTTTTTTTTTTTTTTTGGCATGTACATAACTTTTAAGTATTGTCCACAGTATTTTCAAAACCTTAGATCTTGGAACAACACCTTAGCAAACCATTGACATGCACCATAATAACACTACAAGGCCATTCCTGAAGTTGACAGTTAATCTGCTTTATATACTTATATATTGTCAGAATGAGTAAAAAAAAATATCATTCTATTGGGAATATCCAATTGTGCACAATGTTCAATCACTTTAAGGGAAAGTTGAAACACTGGTAAATAGTATTTTATTTTGAATATACTCTCCTGTGTTAAATAGTCAGCCCCATGCTTGTATGCACAGTGCTCTTGAAATGCTCACCTGGAATCCTTCACACCAGCTTCCCCTAAATGTAATTTCGAGCCATTAACTCAAATCCTTTCCACTGCTCATTTTCCCCTTTTGTAAATATTTGTTGAGTATGTTTAAAAGCAGAGTTTGTGCCAGAAAACCAATTAAAACGAGCTTGACCAATCCTGCCAAGTACCAACGGTGCATATCCAGCCAGAATTATGCAAGAATATTTTGAATGGAGGTTGTCTTGTAAACTTTCCTCTGAATAACAGTCGGTTTACAAGAGCACTTGTAGCTTTAACACCTCTTCATTCATTCACTTTTAATAAGGTCATTTGCTGATATAATATTTAGAACCTACAGACATAATATTAGCTAACTAGTCTGGGGATTCTTTAAGCATTCAAAGTTGTGACTGAATCAACACCAAGCACATGCATGGACACGCACATCTCCTCTCATCTAATTTTATCCAATTCTGGTTGGATGAACAGGGACAGTTGAGGAACATTTTCCTTCCACTCAGAATTGAGAAGTGCACAGGCAAGCATAAAATTGCTTTATTTATTTACGATTTGCCTCGTTGTCCCTGAAAATGAATGCCAGAATTAAAGTTAGAATAGCAAAGAAAGACTCTCAGCAAAGCAGGAATGAAGTGCAGATGAAGTAAAGAGAGACAGCATTTTGGTTTAGTGCAAGAGGAAAATGTCTTTTCAAAAACAAATTTCAAATTGCATATATATGTGCAAAATATTTAGCGCAGAAAGTGGAGTAAATAATAAAAGGTTGCTTTTGATCTTAAACTTGTTTGTTGTCACCGAACATTTTCATTGTGCTAGGTGATTTACTTTTATAATTTACTTTCTACAGTTATTGTAGAAAGTAAATTAATTTAAAAATCGCAGTCTTATGAGTCTTACCAAAATTAGTGGGTTATAAGGTTTTAGGCTAAAAACAACTATACAAGAATTATTTTTGGCAAGTTTGCAAAACTTCACAAGATCTCTGCATACTATAAGTGGTTTATTCCTTAAGCAAAAAAGATGCAGTTCGAAATCTTTGAGTGACAAACCTTTTTAGTCATTAAGTGCATGGAGCCCTTTTTAGTTGCAGCTGAGAGTTCCCAGTGACTGTTGGCTGGTCATGCTAGCTGGTTGGAAGCAATTCCGGTTCACACTTCTGCACAAATCACCTCTAATCCTCAGATGCTGTTGGCTCTCTGGTTGTCATCTGATTATTTTATTCAGTTTCTCTTGGGATGTCCTGACTTTCATTTATTACTGTAATAATGCTGAAG